TAATGTACCCAATGTGGTGTAGTGGATAAAGTAATGGAGTAGGACTCGAGAGGTTTGATTCTTCAGGTCTGCCATCAAAACTCATCGGAGTCTGTGTCTGAAACCCTATTAGGGTTGCTATTAAGCGGGTTCTGACTTGGTGAAATGTATAAATAAACAAGCTATGAATGGATTAACAACATAGCAAAAGATGGATGCATAATATGTATAAAACCACTTGCTGTTGCTAATGTGAATGATCTTGAGGCACAGGTGGTTATTTCAACATGGCTTCCTGCTGGTCATCATGATCCAGGAGGAGATGGATGAATACATAAAATTGAATGCATGGATGTTACCTTTGAGGAAACTTTGGCTTCTTGAATCACAGTGTGTACTTCTGTGATGAAGAATTCCTAGCAAGAAATGTGTCAAATCTTACTGTGGATAGAAGGAATGTATTTAGCAGGAGTCCAGCAAACCTGTTCAGGAGGGCTTTAAATCCTTCTCATCAGGAGCGTATGCCAGAAGATGGAGACAGCAAACACACTGGAAAGAAAAGTCACAGTGATGCACAAGACAGTGGCTCAGTGATAAGGAAATTATCAGAAGGAATGACTGTTTTTTTAGATGTCTTTATACTAATGCGTTGAGCATAGGAAATAAGACAAACTTGAACTTTTAACACAGGCAAGCAAATATGATGAGTGATATGCATAGCTGGAGAGTAATATAACTTTTAAAAACATAGTGGACTCAACAGGAGTGAAGAAAGAGTAGAATTTCAAGTAAGGGATGTGACAAACAAATAAATCCATGTGGTCCTTTTGAGGAAGTTATGAACTGGAGTATGGAAGAACTGTTGAGGGCATTGGGGTACAAAATGAAAGGATAGGGAAACAATAGGGGGTTGTTTCAGACTTCAAGTGAGATTGAAAACCTGAATGATACTTCCCTAGGATCAGATTATTCCATGTTGGAAAAGGAGAAAAAGATGGTAGACTTCATCTCTCCTGACATCTGTTGATGTCAATAACTTAAGGTCAAATGAATTCATAATTGCTTTGCTGGCCATTTCACTTTCCAGTACTTAGAAGAAGCAACAAAGTGATCAGCTGTCCTGGATTTTAATCTCAACAATAAGGAGGAGGAGCTGTTCCGTGAAGTAGTCACCATATCCATTTAGGATTTGTTATACTGAGGAAAACAAAAACTGAATTTAGCTGAAGATGCCTGCTGGGTTTCATGAAAGTAACTTTTAATGAGCTTAAGACGATATTGGTGAAAGGTATTCTCAAAGGCTTTCACGGCCATGATCTGATGGTAGTTGTAGGTTTTTCAGGCTGTTAGGCTGTGTTCTGGAGGTTTTTCTTTCTAATGTTTTGCCAGTCTCTGTGGCCGGCATCTTCAGAGACTGGAGTAGGAATTCTGTCTGTCCAAAACCTACAACAACCCATATTGGTGAAATTTCATGGTCAAATGGAAGTGTCTTAAAGGCAAGATACTATAGGCAGGGCTGTAAAGAATTTCAGCAAGAAGGAAAAGTGGGTATTGTTGAAAGATGTGTGACTGCATAAAAAGCCTTTATATCAGCTGAGGTTTAAAACTGGTGCATACAGGCAGAATTGGGACGAGTCATCAGTGAAGGGTGCGTAGGCAGTATTGGTAGGGAGAAGTCTTAAGAAGCTAGGAAATGGGTTGGTTGATTGATTCAACTTCTGTTCCATCCCATAGTGCTTAGAGCACTCTCTGGGGCATTTACAACATAATTAAACAAAGGACATTTTGCATAATGTTGAGTCAGATCCTTTGTGCATTTAGCCCAACATTCCCACGTTGCTCCTTTGACTCCTTCTGGTTGACTTTGGGCTCTCGCACAGCCTGATCGATCTCACCTTATTGTGGACAAGGTAAAACGGGGAGGAAGAGAACCATGTCATGTCACTGCAGAAAAGGCAGGATAGAAATGTAACTTGTAAACACAGCAAATAAATACACTCAGTTTGTGCAGTACAATAAAGTCAGCACATCTCGGAGCACCTTGTCTGAAATAAATGGGCATGCTTGAACAGTGATCACCAACTGATGGGCCAGAATCCTGATATGGACTGCTTCAATTCAGAGTGCTAGTTTTAACCTATAAAGCCCTAAATGGCTTGTGTCCAAGCTATTTCAATGGCTGTGTCTCTCTTTATGAGGTGCGTTTGGTGGAGACTCAGGAGAGGGCTTTCTCGGTGACTGTTCCCAAACTTTGGAACTCCCTCCCACTGGAGGCCAGGCTGGCCCCCCTCGTGATTATCCTTCCGCAAGCAGGGGAATACCTTTCTCTTTAGGCTGGCTTTCTTTGACCAAGGGAATTTTTTAAAAGGGAGCATTTTATTCCCTTTTATTTGTGCCTTTAATATTGTTCTCATTATGAGTTTTAATATAATACTTTTAAAATGCTTTTTAAACTATTGTAGTAATTTATGATTTGTTTTTTAACTTTGTTTCTTCTAATACTATAAGGTTCCTTGGATTCTTTAGGAGACAACGGCAGATAGATGAATGAATGAATGAATGAATGAATGAGCGAGCGAGCGAGCGAGCGAGCGATAGATATAAAATGGTTTGTACCAAGGGGACAACCATACACTATTTTTCCCTTCTTAAAGAGAGAGAGAGAGAGAGAAAGCAGAGCAAAGCAGAGAATGTAGCTTAAGCCTGCAGAGAATAAAAGGTTTAATAGCAAGTCAGAAAGATCCCAAATCAATATTTTAATATCAATAGAAAAAACTGTCGTAAAAGCGAGCTTCCTAAGAATCTGCTTTTACACGGAACAGAGAGGTGTCCGGAATGATCAGTCCCTTATCAGGTAAAACTGGTTCCTTTAATTTTACCCTAGGCAACTGTTTCACCCCTTCTCCCAAGTCTGATCCAATTTTTAGAAAGAACAGCTTCCAGGAGTTCTAGAATATTTAATCTTCCTCCTCTCTTATAGGTAGGGCCCTAAATTGGTAGCATGAACTTGGCCTGATTAAACAAATCAATAGCTTATGGTCTATTGCAAGAAGCCAACCTTCAGACAATCAGCCTTTTTATATTTTATTAGAAAAATAGAGATTAGTTATAAATGAATTTAAATGAGCAAAACATGACATCTTTACATAAACAATCATTTCCAAAAGACCCCAGCCATCACCACAAGACATTTTCCTCTATAAAAAACCAAAATAACAAATTAGCTAACTACATTTCCAAACAGAGTTTTATCTTACTGTTAATTTGAAAAATAAGATCCTTTTGTAGCTTTTCTTCTGTCGTTCAGTCTTCCGTGCTGGAATTCTCTTGCTGCGTTCGGGCAGTCGTCCAGGCTGTCTCTCCGACCATCTTCTCCTCGGTTTCTCTTTCCTCCCATCTCTCTTAAATCAAGCTTTGATGTCCTTGTCCGTCTGAGTTGAGATAGTTGCCTGGCTACTAGATAACGGTCACCTTGTTCTTCATAGTTTTTTCTACTGCAAAAGAACTGACCTTGGAGATCTTGCTTCGATCTAACTTGCACACAGACACGAACGGATTTTTAGCCTAAGTTCGCTCCTATAAAATAAATCACTCTTCATCTTTCATAAGCAAATTCATGACAAAAACTACTAAAAAAGTTTATTGCCAATACTTGGTGGAGAAAAGTAATGTAATAGTAAGGGAAAGTGGTCCTTACACATCAGAAACTTTATAGTTTTTGCTGTGGTATCATTGTCAATGTGTATGATAAAGTTATGGTGCAAGCAGCATTCCCTCTGAGCTGCATGGCTGCACAGCGCGGCATCAGGGCTGAACACCCACAGCCCATGTTGTCACCATTTGATTCCAGTTGTGGCCAGAACTCTACGCACACAGGGCAGGATTTCCACTGGTGGAAAAATTGAATATTAATTAAATATTACATTCAACTTCCCACCGGCACTGAGTGGAATGTGACCTTTTTTGATGCTCAGTCCACAAGAACGGTCCGGCCCTACAGAGTAAATAAGGACTTGTAGAAAAGTTTACTTTGTGACACTAAGCAGGTTTGAAGAACAGAGACAAATGTAGGTTTGATTTATTTTACAAAGGCAAGAGAGCATCACAACGTGCGAGTTTTAATGTGTCAACATTATTATATTTTTAATTTGCTTTTTGATCAAGCGGACCAGTGTACTGGTAGATACTGCCAAATAGCTCCTGTCTGAAGCAGGAGCAACGGAACGAAACAGATCTTTCTGTTCATGATTTGTTTGCCGTTATGTCTGACTATGGCATTCAGGCTTATCCCTCCCCTGACAAGCCAGAATACCATAATCGGGCATCATTATAGACTAGGATTGCTTCAGGTGTATTTGTCTGGCTTTTTAGGGGAGAGGCAAGCCAGATCTCTGAATCTGAGCAATCCCACAGATGAAAGTTGTGTGATTTGTGCTTCCATGTCTGGGGATTATGTTGTTCCCAGCCAGGGAGACTTCCAGTTTGTCATCTCCTGTGTATGCGTTCAGTGTGACTCTCCAAAATAGTCCTTGGCTCAGATTTTTGTGAGCTGTTTGTTCTGTCTGCGACCCAACAGCTCCTTATGCAGATTACAAGTATAGTAGGCCCCCTCCATCTGCGGGATCAGTATCCACTGATTCATTTATCCACTGCCTGAAAATACTAAATTAAAAAAACCCTCAGAAATGTGTATTTGTATATATTTCAAGCGTGTATTTACCGGACCATGCAATGTATAGCATTTGATACTTTCATGTTTTTTGGCATCCCTGGTAAGGTTTGGAACCAATCTTCCACAGATACTGCAGTCTACTATGTTTTCAGTAGCTCATTGCTGTCTTCTTGGTCTTCAGGGGATAATGAAGGCTATGTTATGGATTACAGAAGGACTGTATAATCGAGCAAAATCAGTTGTACAAACAGAATCTTTTTGTCAAGTCCATCTTTAGGCAGTTATTTTAGCTGCAGTCCCAGATCTGCTTACTTGTGAAAAAGTTATTCTGCATTGGCCAGTAGGGTTCTGCTATTAACCTCTGTTCCTCTCTGCTAGGGAGATTTTTAAAGAAAGATATCACACCACTTTGGGGCTGGAGAAACACAGAACAGACCGAAAATGTCCAAAATAACAACAGAACTTCTGCTGGAAAGAGCTGTGCCGAAATCTACAAGGCTGAGAAAGATCAAAACTTTGAAGTAAGTGCTGCCGTTCTATGTCGAAAAACTCAGAGGTCTCTGTTTTTGAAAAAAAAAAGCTCGTAACTACTTTGGTTAAGTGATCACAGTATTGATAAATCTACACAGTAAGTTCAGTTGTGGGGGAAACATAGCTGGGGCAACCCCCCTCCCCAATTCAGTGTTATAGTTTGAGGTTGAGAAAATCAAATTACATCACAAATATGCAAGGCTCAGCAAACATTTCCATGTCATGCGTTCTGCCAAACCGAAACAATTTGACCCATGCAGACAGAATGTGGGTTTCTTCATAGTGCTTTCAGTCAGATCTGTTGAGATTTGGGTTCGTGCCTTGAGCAGGGAGTTGGCCCTTTTGAACTCCATGATCCTTGGCATATCAGAGATATTTCTCCCAACAGTGCATCATTATGTACACATTGATGATGTTTCCCCTTGTGCATCTTTTTCCCAAGGCTCTTCACAGGGGAGTTACACCAGCCCTTTCATAATGTTGGTACCCCTTTTCTGCATCTTTTTCAGCGGCACAACTTTCTGCACACAGTGACCAGCACTCCTAACACAGAATAGTTCAGATGGCACGACAGGTTTCTGTAAGAAAAGTATAGTATTCACAGTTTTGTTTTTGGTTCCTGCAACAATTACAAGCTGGCTGGATAGCTCAGTGAGTTAGGTACCTGGATGCAGAGCCAGAGGTTGAGAGTTCAATTCCCCCACTGGGCCTCCCAGGAGAAGAGCCAGCCTGGGTGGCCTTGGGCAAGCAGCACAGTCCCAGAAGAAAGGAATAGTAGAACCAGTTCTGTGTACAGTCGAGACCCGCTTAATGATTGCCCCGCATTATGACAAATCTGCAATTGCGATCGCAAAACAATGGTCTAAATGGGGGAATTTCACTTAGTGATGATCGGTTCCCTGCTTTGGGAACCGATTTTCACTTTACGATGATCAAAAACAGCTGATCGTCAGGGTTTCAAAATGGCCACCGGGTGCTTAAAATGGCTCCCCGCTGTGCTTAGGGACGGATTCCTCACTATACAGGCACCGAAAATGGCCGCTGTATGGAGGATCTTCACTGGATGGCGTATTTTTACCCCATTGGAATGCATTGAACGGTTTTCAATGCGTTTCAATGAGGTTTTTAATTTCGCTTTACGATGTTTTCGCTTCACAGCGATTTTCCTGGAATGGATTATCATTGTTAAGCGAGGCGCCACTGTATTCTCTACCTAGAATATCCTGGCAAAGGTTACCATAAGTTGAAATCACCTTGATGGCATGCAATTAATAATTATGCTCAATGTGGAATGTTGGCTTTTTTAAAAAAAAGCAGTTTGCACACTAGTTTGGCATTTTGAACTAATTACCTACCTCAGCGCTAAGTTCTTCCCCCCCCCCTCATTCAGTCAATACTAGCTGAGATTCCAGCAATGTTTTTGTGAACCTGGGATTCTGTCATCCCCCCCCCGTCATATGTATCACTTTATATGAGCTTACATTGAATCTCATTTGCCATGTTAGTGCCTGTTTGAAAAGATCCTTTTGAAGCTTTTCATACTCTGTTTTTTCTTGTCATCACTCAAAATGTCTCTCTGTCATCAGCAAATATGGCCACCCTACTTCTCACTCTGAACTCTAGGTCACTGAACATAACCACTGTCTGTAGTGATGAAGATCATTATGGTGGTGGCTGTAATTTAGAATATGTTATGCTATCTTTTGAGGTGAAGTCCCTTCAAAGCAGATATAAAGACATAAGACATAAGAAATTTATTTGTCATTGCACTCACAAGTGGGTGCAACGAAATGAGGTGCTCTTCCCCAAGGTAAAACTGGACAACACCACTACAAAAAAAGTTAAAATATACACAACACTCACCATACAAATATAGATACCCCGTTTCTCCCAGCAATTAAAAAACTTATGACCCCGCATTTAAACTCAATATTGCACTTGGGTAAAAGCTGTTCTTGAATCTGCTTGTCCTTGCTTTCAATACCCTGAATCTCCTTCTCAATGGTAATAGTTTAAAGAGCTGATGTCCCGGATGAGAGGAGTCTTTCAGTACGTTAGATATCTTCCTCTTACATCTGTTCTTGTACAATTCTTCCAAACAGAGGAGTGAACAGCCAATGATGTGTTGGGCCGTCTTAATCACCCTTTGAATTGCCTTTTTCTCTGCCATTGTGCAGCTCGTGAACATATAAACACGAGAGAACAATAATATATAGAGTGCAGTTAACCAAAAATAGGAATATAAAACATTTATCAAAATAGCAACTTTAAAAGCTTCGAGTTGTAAAATAAAGATCATTGTCTGCTCTGTTAATAGTGAATAGTAATCAAAGCAAAGTGTGCTGCTTATATGCTGCCCCATAGTGTTTAAAGCACTCCTTGGGCTGTTTGCAATTTAATTATGCAGGCTACACATGGCCCACCATGAGCTGGGGACTCAATTAACCAAGCTTGGAAAGATGGAAGGCTGAGTCAACCTTTAGCCGGCTACCTGGGATTGAACCTGGGAGGTGAGCAGAGTTCAGGCTGTAGGACCGCCATTTAACCACTGTGTCCTAAATCTCGTTGTTGTAGATCGTAAGCTGAATTATGAGCCAACCGTGCGAGATGTGGCTGCAGAAAAGGCCACTGCTGTTTTAGACAGCATTAAAAGCCAGAGTGTGGAGAGGTATTTTCTCAGCCTAATGGCACACTCTTCTCCAGCTAAAAGTCTGCAGGAGAAGAGGGTTTCCATCCCAAAGGATTAGGTGTGTTCGCTCTTGGGATGTCTTCCTTAGCATGAGGTGATGCCAAATGCTGGATGGAACGGAACTCGGTCAAGTGCCTGCATTTCCCTCCCTTCTTAGCTTGTCCAGGTTGCAGATAACCACGGAAGATCTGGAACCCCAATTGTTTTCTCATCTCCGCCACCTCCAAGAACTGGACCTTTCTGATAACCTGTTGGAGAGGCTGCCTGACAACCTCAGCTTGCCGAACCTCCGGGTCCTGAACTGCAACAATAACCACCTGGAAGATGTGATCGCTCTGCAGCAGTTCCCACAGCTGGAGGAGTTGACTTACCTGAACAATGGATACCTGACAGTGAGTCTACGTATTTTGCCCTGCAGAGGCTGTCTGAACTTCCCAGTCACTAACTGGTGTTGTCTTTCCACAAACCTTTTATTACCCTTACAGTGGAAGAGGGGGATGAGGATGAGCGGAATAATGATAATGGCGATAAGGATTGTATACTTTATTTGTGAAATAAATCTAGTAACTTAGACGTTGTGCAGAATACAGTAGGGCCCCGTGGGGTCAGTATCCGCAGATTCACTTATCCACAGTTTTAGAAAGTTTAAAATATTTTATTTTTAAAGATGAAGTTAGGACTGGCCATTAGAGAGAGCCAGAAGCCATGCCTGTATAGTGTTCACGTGCGCATGAAAGAGAGAGAGATTTCCATCATATCATTTCCAGAACTGACCACGAAAGGGAGCCAGAGAACATGCATTCACTATTATAATAGTGTTTGCTTTAATCCGCGTTTTTCAACCTCTGTAGGGGACTTGGAACCAATCCCCCATGAATATGGGGATCTTACTGTATTAAAAATACCAATACCATATCCTAATAGTTTTGCCATGTCACTTATACAAAATAAGCTGAAATAAATGTCTTCTTGAACTTTATGGCTGAGTACTCAAATCCCAGAAATCGGGATGGGGTTTCCTTTCATGAGATTCATTATTTCAAATGATTTGTATTTTGCTCCCCTCTGTGAGAGGATCAGAGCAGCATGAAATGTGCAATAGGAGGACTATTAATCAAACTGAGCTCAGCCATGTGAAACAAGAACATTTACGATTGTGATACAGTACTTGGTTTGAACAAAGTACTAAATGGACTCAGATAGAACAATTTTAATTTGTTACAAAGTTACAAATGATTGTACTCAAGGAAATGACAGACTTAAAAGAAACAGTGTTGCTTTGATAGTGAGGTGAGATGTAGCACAAGCAGTTATGGGCTATAGAGCAAAGTTTGATTGGTTAATATCAGTCACACTTCATGGAAAGCATGTGGCCTAACTATCTCTCTAGGTACAGATGCTGAAGAAGAAATGGGAAGCCTGTATGCATGTGCCCATAAGGATGTACTGTGAATCAGTATACAGAAGCTGGAAATGAAACAAAAGCAAACATTGTTGGAAAATTTGACCTAGGAATTAGACATGAAGCAGGAAATGAACTCTTAGGGTACTATGAAGCCAACAGAGTTAGGCTGTCCAACTTCTTAGAGGGTTCATAAGCCCTACAAAGACCTTTCCTGCTACCCTACCTATATTCAGAAAGATGCAGAACAGAGTTATAATTTTACTGTCCTAAATCCTATAGAACCACGTGGCATTTCCCTGAAACAGAAGGGTCTTTAATTCATAAAGTGACTTTGCTCTCCCATGGCAGCAGACTGCCAGCGATCAAATGTATCACGCTCAGATCTTTCCTCTTTTGTAGCCCAGTGATGACTATAAGGTCATGTTTCTCCTGCGGAATCTCCGGCAATTAAACGGCAAAGATATCACCAAGCTGGCCAATCATGTGAGAGTTGTCAACAGCCGAGAGTTGACTAGCCGGGTAAGTTCAGGAAAGGCAGTGCCATATGGGTGGATTGTAGTAGTAGTACCATGTTTCCCCAAAAATAAGACAGGGTCTTATATTAATTTTTGCTCCAAAAACACATTAGGGCTTATTTACAGGGGATGTTTTTTTCATGTACAACAATCTACATTTATTCAAATGCAGTCATGTCATCTTCTGGTTGCTGCACAAGGGTGGAGAGCAGGATTTCACTTATTTTTGGGATTAGGGCTTATATTATGAGCATCCCGAAAAATCATACTAGGGCTTATTTTCAGGGAAACAGGGTAGTAATAATAATTATAATGATAATAACCTTAAAACTGCAGAGCTAGAAAGGGACCCTATGGATCATTGAGTCCATCCTCTGTCAAGGAGGCCCAGGGGGGAATCGAACTCCCAGCGTCTCGCCCTGCAGCCGGAGACTTAAACCACTGAGCTGTTTTGAAGGAGAGATGTTCGTTATAACAGTGGTCCCCAACCTTGGGCCTCCAGATGTTCTTGGACTTCAACTCCCAGAAATCCTGGCCAGCAGAGGTGGTGGTGAAGGCTTCAGGGAGTTGTAGTCCAAGAACATCTGGAGGCCCAAGGTTGGGGACCACTGCCTTATAACATTTTTGGTAGTTCCATCACCATGGGTGAGCGGACAAACCAGTTCTCCCCTTCAGCAGAGGGTGTTTGTAAAACGGATGAGTCTTGATTGCCCATTCAAGCCACCCTCAAATACCTTGGATTGTCTGGATACTTAAAGAAAAATTGCTGTAAATTCTTGATCATCAAGGTTGGTGGGAGGCACAACTCACTATAAGGTATAAAATGAGTGTTTCTCAGGAAAGGTGGACATTAATTTCAGGGAATCTTACTATCACTTGATTTGATCATCATACCTCCCTGCCCCTTTGATGTTCCCTTTAAAGGAATCAGCAGAGGAGAAAGTTGCTAAAAGGGAATAAGAGAAATCAGTCTGTTATGAACGATAAGGCATTGCTCTACATAAATGGATCTTTCTGAAGAATTCCTGTCTCATCTAGCGTTTCGGTGTCCTCTCTTCCCCTCTTTGTGTTTTCATCATTCTTGGTAACATATACTGATATGTATTTAGGAAAAAAAATACCCAGCTTTTAGATCAGGATTAAAATAGTTCAGATTTTAACTTGGAAAAGAAAGAGCAGTAAAATGCCAGGAAAAGAGCAGATGAAGTAGGGGTTTTTTTTTTAATTGTCAATAGCTGTGCAAGCCATTGCAGCTTTTTGCATGATATTCTCTGAATGTTTTCAGATTACAGCTCTACTCCATAGGGTTAGTAGTCTGAAACGACAAGAGTTATAAAATGCTAGAACTGCCGAGTTGGAAGGAACTCTGTAGATCACTGGTTCTTAACATTGGGTTACTCAGGAGTTTTGGACTGCAACTCCCAGAAGCCTTCACCACCAACTGTGCTGGCTGGGGTTTCTGGGAGTTGCAGTTCAAAAACATCCAAGTAACAAAGGTTAAGAACCACTGCTGTAGATTATTGTCACTGGTCTCTCCAGCCATTATCCTAAACACCTTTAGGACATAGGTTTGGAGAAGACTAGTTTTTATTATGTGCTTATTTTTATAATTTCAACATGATAAGGATGTGTTGATTCCAAAAGAATAAAAGTATCTGGTAGGAAAGAAAACCCCATCACTCTGAAACTGACTAAATAAAAACATGTAAAAGGTAACAGCCTGGTGAATATCCACTGTATTGCAGGCAGGAAGAGAACACAGAGCTGCCTATTTCATGAGAGATGGGATTTAAGCAGGGCCTTGGCGAAACATCTCTATTCCCAGACTGTTTCATGCATGGCAAAGTTACTGCAGGTCATTATCCTGTGTGTTGTATTTCAAGCAAATATACTTTCTGTTTTATGTAGGTCTCAGCTCACTGGGGGAAAAACTTCCGGAACCAATTACCGAAAACATTGTCCCCTGAGCAGTTGAAATCGATCAGGAAAAAGTTCATCAGGTCTGCACAAGCCCATGTCGCCTACGGACCCAGCTCGCTCAGCGACTTCACCCGATGGCGGGTAAATTCACACCCATTAATCCCGTCCTGCATGTACACATTGGGTTTTTCCTGCAGCATCTAATCCCTGGCATAGCATCTTGATTATACCTGGGTTTAGAGGTCTTTCACAAGTAACATAGGTTAGTCTGATGCATACAGGTATACAGAGAAATGGACAGCTGGTCAGGAGAGAACCCTCAGTGACTATATGAATTTTGCATCAGTGAGGCATGCCAGAATCTCAGAATGGTAGAAGGATTGGCTGGTGTAACATGAACATCAGAATATTCTTAGGCATCCTTCAGTCTCGAAAGACCATGGTAACGCGCTCTGTATGAGTGTCCTCTCCAGAGTACTAAGCCTAGGTAGAATAATATGGAGGATAGGCTGTTACCCAAGCAGCAAATCCCCCCTCTCCACGTCACTGAAATAGTCCAATGGAAAGCAAGAGCCAATACAACTGGTTCTAGTGATGTCGCAGGAGTTGCCAGAATGACACGAACTGCCTCCGAGACTCTGGCTCTGGATTTTGCCTCGAGGTTCAGGGACGTGGTGGCGCTGTGGGCTAAACCACAGACGCCTGTGCTGCAGGGTCAGAAGACCAGCAGTTGTAAGATCGAATCCATGCAACGGAGTGAGCTCCCGTCGCTTGTCCCAGCTCCTGCCAACCTAGCAGTTCAAAAGCATGCAAATGCAAGTAGATAAATAGGGACCACCTCGGTGGGAAGGTAACAGCGTTCCGTGTCTAAGTCGCACTAGCCATGTGACCATGGAAGATTGTCTTTGGACAAAACGCTGGCTCTATGGCTTGGAAACGGGGATGAGCACCGCCCCCTAGAGTCGAACACAACTGGACAAAAATTGTCAAGGGGAACCTTTACCTTTACCTTACTCCTGAAGCCATTTCCATCAGTGGATATAGCCACAAGGCAGTGGAGGTTGGAAATTGGAGTTTTCCTTCTGCTAGATGGGCTGCCTTCCAAGGCTGACGAGCCCCACCTACCCAGAATAACCTCGCTCTGATTCTTTATATTTGGTTGATATTGTAAATGGGAAGACACCTCTGCTGAACTACTGTGTTCAACTGTTTCACATTTTATGTTTCCTGATCGCTAAAGTGGGACATCCCTGGAACATTCTTGATTTAGATATTGAAGGGACCAGTCTGTTAGGCTGTTGAAAGGACCAGAAAGCCTTCTCCCAACTCCTGTCGGTACCGCTGCTTTGATTTGAGTTGCACCATGCATGGATCAACTGTCTGATCCTGCGCATGGCTCAGCCTGCTGACGTCAGTAGCCTTCCTCCTCTAAGTCTCCCACAATCCATTTGTTCCATTCAGAGTAAATTCTGTTGAAATAAATGGGAGCAACAGCAGTTTCCAAGTAGATTTGTTGAGCGTTTGTGGTATAAAAGCCTTCCGTTCTCTGTAGAAAAACAACTGTAATTTCTGCAAAGATATCATGCTCCTAGGGTGACATATAGATAGTTTTCGGTATGTCTTACGTGTTACACCTGATGAAGAGTTGTCTGTGGCTTGAAAATGAGCCTGTTTAGAACACTATACTAGAAAAAAATTATACAGCCTGTCTTTATTTATGCTTTGCAGAGCCAGTAATTGTCGTAACCATCTCATTTTCACAAGCCAAATAAAAACTTGTCGTTTCAAAGGAAGGCCGTTTGGGAAGGTATATTATGGATTATGCCCGGGCGTTGACAGCTTCCTCCGCTCTACCTTTAAAATCACACCTCCAACACAGCCTGCCTTTTTCCCTACTTTAAATCTAAGCAACACGCCTGGCAAAATCTATCTGCCATGAACTTTTGGGACTCCAAATTCTCTGCACTAACAAACAAGCCACAGGTGCAGGGACACCCCGATCCATGAAAGCTAACATTGAAAGTAGGAAGGATTAACTTGCTTACACCCCTTACACCTCTCATAGAGTTTTCAAGCGGGTAATGGTGTTAGTCTGTTTTGGCACGTATGACAAAAAGAGAAACATTGTGGGACCTCTGTGATGTATTTCAGAGCAAGCTGAATTTGAAAAGTGTTTCCTTTTGGCACTTACTGTCTTATTACAGCTTAACCGGTTTCCACCTTCTCCTATTAGGTGAAAATGATTGCAGAACAATTCCTGAATTCACTCATCAATCAAGAAAATAAATCTGAAGAAGGAGAAACAGTGGAGGAGGAGGAAGAGGAGGAGGAGGAAGAGGAGAAGGAGGAAGAGGAGGAGGAGGAGAAAGAGAAAGAAGAGGAAGAAGAAATTACAGAAAATATTGTGGAGACTGAAAGCAAGGTCCCTGCTAAGGTCAGGACGCTGCAAAGGGAACCGCCAATCGCCTCATTCAAATTAATGTGCCCACCTTCCCTTGATGCATTTCATGCTGCCTGTTTAACTAAAAGGCTCCGAGGTGCTCTGTGGAGCTGCTTTGGGAAATGAAATGGCATCGTTCTATCCTCAGCTATGCAGAGAAACCTGTGGTTCCATTTTTTTAAAATCCCTTTAAAGAAGAATGGGTGTGTGTGTTTCTGTGTGTTTTTTTTTAAACCCAAACAAACTTGAAAATAGAGGTTCCCTGATAAAGCAGTGCTGGACCCAGCCTCTTTTGAACTCAGATGACTTTCACAGACTCCGAAAAGTGTGGGAGTTGTTGGAGGAAGAAACCCTTATTTTCAGGTGAAAACTCTCCATCTAATTGATAATATTAAGAATAATTAATAACAAGTTACATGCTAGGGCAGTTACTGTTTGCATTTAAAAGGCAACATTGGGGGGGGTATTGTTTTCTTCCTGGCTTTTGACTGGCAAGTAACATAACCCCTTGGTACTCTGAAAAGTAACGTAATGATAACGGCCTATGCAGCTCATGACTGAAGCAAGGGACCAATCACACACACATACACACCCAATATTTGGGGTGGGCCCACCTACTTGAGCAGTGATCCGCCACAGGATAGCAGTCCAGTAGGGCCACAGTATCCGTGCATCAGTTCCAAGCTCCCATGGATGCTGGAAACCACGGATGATAGAGAGAGAGAGAGAGAGAGAGAATACTCTCTGGTTCCCTCTAGTGGCCAATTTTGATAATACACCTTAGAAACTCGTATTTTTGGGATTATTTTTTTAATTTAATACAGTACTTTGAAGCAGCTAAGTGGAACTGTGGATGCTGATCCTATGGATGGGGGGAGGGGGTCTACTGTATTCCTTTATCCTAGCTTACTGTCCAGGTTCTGATAGTCAGTTATGAATGTGCACTTGTTCTTTGTTGGGAGAGTGAATACGATAGCTGGAAGTTGCTGGTGTTCTCTTTCAATATAGGCTACAGGCGTCCCTAGCAAGAGGAAAGGTGCTCGTTCTAAAGGAGCGAGCAAGAGGTCCCGCTCCCGGAGCAGTTCCAAGGAGGAAGCCTCTCCCACCCCCAAGAAGCCCAGCCGCTTGCAGGATGAGCGCAGTCCTGAGGGCACAAAATCGTCTCGCCCGCAGGCCAAGGATTCCCCGACCGCCCAGGACCCCGGAGGGACCCATCGGAATGGGGGACGGCTTCCAAAAGCACAGAGCAACAAACGAGCCAGCCAGCAGAAAGAGGAGCACAAGGAGGAAGAAGAGGACGCACAAGGTGTCTGCAGCTCTCCGGTCAAGGACTTGGAAAGCGAGGTATGGGCGTAGCGGTTCCCTCTGAGGGCTTCGCAGGGCGGGCGCAGCGGCGGCTTTGTTCTGAAATGGCATTTCCTGTACACACACGGGCGCGAGGATATGTGCAGTGGGGTTTGTGGGCTTGCAAGAAAATTTGGGTGATGCCACAATCCTTCCTGCAGGAGGGCTAGTGATATCTTAGTGTCCTTTGGGGGTACTCATTCCCTTGTATTCCCCCCCCCCCAATTCAGCACTGGTTAGGCCCTGTTAAGAGTAGTGTCCAGTTTTAGACACTGCACTTTAAGAAGGATGACCAAAAAAAAATTGGAGCAAGTTCATAGGAGGGCAACAAGGATGGTCAGGAGACTGGAAACCAAACCCTTGGAGGAAAGGCTGAAAGAACTGGGCAGGTTTAGCCTTGAGAAAAGACGACTGAGCACAGAGAGAAGAGCACTTTTCAAAGACTTGAAAAGCAAGGAGGGGCAGGATCTGGTCTCAATCGCCCCAGAATGCAAGACATGTAAGAATGGCCTCAAGCTGCAAGGAAGCCAGATTTTGGCTGAATATCATGAAAAACCTCTTTAACTGTTAGAGCAGCACAACAATGGGAGCCGTGACCTTGGGACGTGGTGAGCACTCCAGCACTTCAAGAGAAATTTGGGCACCCATCAATCAGATCTACTTTGATCTGGATTCCTGCCTTGATCAAAGGGTTGGACTCCATGGCCTTCTTAGGCCCCTTCCCCACTCCATGATTCTAGGATTTGAGTTTCAGAGATGCAGTTAATCAGAGCTGCCAATAGATTTGCCCTTTGTTAAAATGAGTCTGTATCTGAACTCATGAAAATAAAACCCAAATATATGACATACAGTCCCTGGCTGAATAGCTCAGTGAGTTGGGTACCTGTCTGTGAAACCATACATCTGGAGTTAGATTCCCCACTCCTGGAAGAACTGTATTGGGGACAGGCTGCATAGTTTTATTTTTATTTATTTATTTATTGTATTTATACCCCGCCTATCTAGTCATTTCGACCACTCTAGGCGGCTTACAACATAAGGATGACAAGTTCTTAAAAAAATTATAACAATTAATTAATTAAATGATTCTATAAGATGGGAAAAATAAAAATAAATCAAATAAAGTTCTAGGGTGAAGGGAAGACGGGAATGGGAAACCGCTTCTGGGTACTCTCAAAAAGGATTATCATGAGTCCAAGTTGACTCCATGGCGCATCATTGTAATGATCTGATTAAACACGATACATATGTAATCAAAAGAAGGAAAATACAGTATAATATTTTTTTGTTAATTTCCTTTCTGGAGAGCTTATTTTTGTGTGTGCCGTTCTATTCAAACCAATACAGTTTAATACTTATTAGAAAAAGAAAGTTGCGTTTTCACAGATGTGAAAATTTAGATTAGAACAGTGTGTAGGGTGGAAGACTCAGGAGTGATCTTTCCAATTACCAAATTTAGCTATTTGGGGTCCAAAACAAGCTGAAGACAGCAGAAAGCATCATTGAAAAGGCCACATGCAGGTTTGGAGGCTACTGCTGGCCCTTTCTTAACCCACCCTGGACTGGGTGCTGATGGACCCCGTGTCATCGTTTTGACCACGCTGGCTGTACCAAGCGTGGAAGTGGGGAAAATCCCAAGTAAGGATCCAAGTTAACTTCCCACAAGTTCTGCATAGACATCTCTTTCCCACTGTGATCACTTACAGTATATCAGACAACTGCATATACTTTTCCCACTCTTTCCCCCCAATTCTCTCCATCCTTTGTTGGCTTTCTCCACAAGTGTGTGGTTCTGAACCTTTGTTAAAGGTAAAGGTTCCCCTTGACAATTTTTGTCCAGTCGTGTTCGACTCTAGGGGGCGGTGCTCATCCCCGTTTCCAAGCCATAGAGCCAGCGTTTGTCTGAAGACAATCTTCCGTGGTCACATGGCCAGTGCGACTTAGACACGGAACACTGTTACCTTCCCACCAAAGTGGTCCCTATTTATCTACTTGCATTTGCATGCTTTCGAACTGCTAGGTTGGCGGGAGCTGGGACAAGCGACGGGAGCTCACTCCTACACGTGGATTCGATCTTACGACTGCTTGGTCTTCTGACCCTGCAGCACAGGCTTCTGCGGTTTAGCCCGCAGCGCCACCACGTCCCTAACCTTTGTTACCCGGATGTTTTTGAACTGCAACTCCCAGAAACCCCAGCCAGCACAGTTGGTGGTGAAGGCTTCTGGGAGTTGCAGTCCAAAACTCCTGAGTAACCCAAGGTTAAGAACCAGTGTGTTAAAGCACAGCTCTTTCCTGAGCGTAGAAAGTCAGATGCAGGGGATCTGGCAACCAGGTTATTTGTGTGTCCCTAGATTGCTGTGAAAAAGAGGTGTGTGACTCAGCAGGAGAGATACTTGCCAGCCGTGCCTTAAAGGCATACAGAAATCTATGAACAAATATAGCTAAGCGATACTCACTTTTCCAAGGGCCTTTGGGGGGGGGCGGTTTTAGCACAAAAGTGCAATTTGGATATAGGCCTCATGTGCGCAAACAAGACAAGCTGCCTTTGCACAGAAGCGGCTGTCCGCCTTGCAGACAGAGCCTTATGGTGCAGTGGTTAAACTGCAGTCCTGCAGCCAAAACTCTGCTCATGACCGGGGTTCAATCCCAGGGAGCCTCAAGGTTGACTCAGGCTTCCATCCTTCCAAGATCGGTAAATTGAGTCCCCAACTCATTGGGAGTGGAGGCCATGGGGTAGCTTGCATAATGAAATTGTGAACTGCCCAGAGGGTGCTTTAAGGGCTATGGAGCCACACGGCCTTTTTGTGTACCCTTCGTCGTTAAAAATAATTTTAAAATGAACTGCTTTCTTAATAGGAGACAATCAGCCTGGAGCCTGTTCATTTTCTACAGTGTCACAGTAAAGGAAACAACAGAGATGACTTCAAGACACAGTTATGGGCCTGCGTCTTTGAACCGCCGCTGGACTGTGGCACCAGAAAAGGTGAACGTGGCCAAGCGGCCTGGGGAAGACCTAAAGGAAAAATGCCAGAGGCAGAGAGAACATTTGTAGCTGTGCAGGTTTTCATGGCAAGGGCGAGCCAAGGCCATCTCCTGAACCCTGGTCCCTGATTACAGAAAGCCCCATTCCCTGGTTTCCTTTTTCTGAATCTGATGTGTGCTCCTTCCAGAAGAGATGACCGACTTGTATCTCAAGGGTTCTGGGGTCCAGTGGGCACAGCCCAGCTGCCCCAAATGGGCTCACAATTTGAGATAAAAGAGAGAGGGTTTATTTCACATCTGCTCTCATGGTTCCCCACCACTTCGTGTATGTTCTGTGTCGTCAAGTCAGAACTGACTTAGAGAGACCCTAATAGGGTTTTCAAGGTATGGGAGTTATTTAAGGAATGGCTTTACCAGTTCCACTCCCCCCAGTGAGTTTCCACGGCGGAGCAGGGATTCGAATCCTGTTCTCCAGAGACCTAGTCCATCACTGTGTCCACTACACCACGCTGGGAAATTCCCTTCCACTTTACTGTAATCTAAATGAAAACCTTTTTAATCTTTAAAGTGCTATAAGACACTTGTTTCTTTTGTTGTTAATGGGGTAGCATGGGTTAGACACCACTCTAGAAATTATTGAACACCTGATAATACACGTTCACTCTGTTCTTCTTGTTTCTTATGGCTCAGTTTGACTCTGCTGGTTTCATTTTGCAACTGCATTGCTTGAAGGCATCTTGAGATGGGCAGATCTTGTTACTGATTTACAAGCATTTATGGGCTTCTATTTAGTGTGGCATTCTCAGGGCAGCGTGTGATGTAAAATGCCTGTTTTGTACTGTGTCAGGATGAAGCAGCAGGTACTGAGGGTTGCCTCAGAGGTTGGAAAGTCACCTGCTCCCATCCCCTCAAGGTGTGCTTAAGCATACCATCCAGTGGACTGAGAATAGCAGGGTGGAAGATGATTAAAGAGATGATTTTGAGTTACAGCTAGAGATGGGGGCTTCGTGTTCGTATACAAAGGTGGAGAGGATAAGGCAAAGGACATGTGAAGAAGGTGGGTTCTGAGGACCAATTAGAAGGAAAGGAGAAGACGGACGTATTCATGGAGCGGAAACAGGCAGCATGCTTGGGAGACGATTCTGTGCCCCCTTGGACTTCATCAGGGCTGCACAAATGGCCAGAAATAGGGGGGAGAGGTGGGAGGAGAAACGAGAGGTGTCTAGGGATGTATGTCTGGTTCTGAAAAATAGGCATTTGGGGGGTTTCTAAAGTATTGGGGCATCCGTGGCCTGTTTAATAGGCAAATCGCCAGTCTTGAGAGGCTTCCGTGTCTTGCAGTTAATTGGCCAGAATCCAGACTGAGGTGGGCGTCTTGTGTAAGCGAGCAGGGCAGGTCTAGCTGAAATATTTCTCAACCACTCAGTCACACAGATCGGCTGCCATGGGGTGGTGGTGATGGTGGTGGTCCTCAGCAGAAGGCAAGAAACAACCTGGCATGAACCACCGAACTACCAGCGCCCATCTCTAACCACCGGTTCCACAGCGATATCTGGGCACTGCCAAGTCCAAGATACGGAAGTGACGCTTCCGATCTTGCTAGGACTTTTCCTTGTTGACCTCAGCTTAACGTTGTCTGCGCAGGTGCCCACGCTTGCTTCCACAGTCATGTAGTACGAAGGTAGCAGATGATGGCAGGAAGGCAACTGTCAGCTGCCTTTTTTTTCTTTTTCTTTTGTAAGTTTGGAATAGTTGCACTTAGAAGCCAAGGAGGGATTTGCGCATCATCACTTTGGAAATTGGAAGTAATATAAAGGGATACGGTTAGGTGGGATATTTAGAAATACAGCCCCAACCAAAAGTAGTTTGATGGCAGCTTCACATCCGCAGGGACTCTCCATCAGTGTAAAGGAAAACGGGAGGGCGGTGGAGACAAGAAGGCGCAATTTTAAATCATCTCTTGTGGTTTTATTCTTCCAGACCCTGTAGTGAGCTCATCAAGGACAGCTGCTACCTGCGGGGGTGACTCGGTTTGTTTGGTTGACTGTGAGACAGGCATTGTCTTGAAGAAGTACAAAGTGGCCGGGGAGGTAAGGAAGCCCACCTCTGCCTGTCACTTATAATATTTATTTATTTATTTATTGAATTTTTACCCCACCCATCTAGTCAAGTGACTACTCTGGGCAGCTAACAGCATATAATATAAACAATTTAAAATATAAGAACAAAGTAACACATCAATAGACAGGATTCAAGATAGAAGAAAAAAGTAAATCAAGAGGTGGCTGCAGGGAAGGCTTGCCTAAACAAGTCAGGTTTTCAATTGGCCTTTGAAAATATCCAGCGAAGGGGCCATACGGATCTCAGAAGGGAGGTGATTCCAAAAGTGTGGAGCCACTGCCAAGAAGGCCCAGTTTCTTGTTTTTTCCTTCCGGGCCTCCCTCAACCTCACCTCCTGGCTAGATCGCGTGATATGAGTAGATTTATAAGTTAGCTTTCTGGACAACGAAGCATGGATAGGGGTGTTGAAGGGGGCAGGCGTGTCTGGGAGTCTGCATGAAGACCACGGGAGCAGGTAGCCACAGGCCTGTCCTGCTTGTAGACATTGCAAACTGCAATCCCACAAATGCTCACCATTGCATAGGCTAGATCCGGCTGATGGGAGCTGCAGTCTTCATCCTGTTGAATTTGATTTATTCAAATTATTTTTCCTGGCTTTCTCCTTAAAAAAAGGACGCAAGGCGACTGGGACAGCCACAAGGCGCTCTCTTTCCTGTTCTACCCCGATGCGTGTCTTCCTCTGCCCCTTTTTCTCTCTAGGAGTTTTACACCGTTGCGTGGACCACCCTGACCATGGTGACTAGCGATGGGAGGAAGAAAAAGCACAATGTTTTGGCAGCCGCTGGGAGACGAGGCATCGTGAAGCTCATTCACGTGACTGCCGATTACTGCTACGGGGAGATCAAGGCTCACAAGAAGCCGATCGCGATGGCCTGCTTCAGCCCCATAAGTGAGACGCATCTGTTCAGTAAGTCCTGCACTCGGAGTCACTCGGGCGATCCTTTTGAAAAGACCTCTCTTTCCACCAGTGAGACGGAGGCCCTAGAAATGTCCTTGCTTCTGTTTGAACTAGGGAATGTGGCAAGGAAGAGGGAGTGTGGAATATACGCATAATTTTTTTCTGTTGTTGGTGGTGTTTTCTTTGTGTAGTTGCCAATATAAAGTATATAGTTATGCTTTTTCATTGCATGATAAAGGTTTTTTAATAGCACATGCCTGCTAGAAGTCAGCCTTTACCTGTGCTCTGCAAAGTATTTTAGATAGTCCAGTTTTCCTGTTCAGGCCCTTCTTTCCCAATTATTTTCACCCCATGAGGATTCAAAGCATGCCTTCATTTGAGTAAACAAAGGTGTAAATTTATTTTACTAGTTTGTGCTTCTCTGGTATGGGAGAATTTCTCTCCATGCACAATTCATAACATAGTCTCTTCTTCAGACGTGGGGCGGCAATATTTCCTAAATTAATTTTTCAGCCCCAAATGAGGACAATCAGTAGTGTTTACCTTTTTCAAATTGAGAAACTCCAAAAAATTCTCTCTCTCTCTCTCTCTCTCTCTGCTTGAAGCCTCCCACAGTATGTTCAAGTCCCACTCAGGTCTGAGTTACCATTTGTCAGCAAAGTATGAATATGTGATGCTACTGCACAGTGCTGATTGGCCAGTGCCAGAATGTTGCTGCTTTTTCAAAGTGGATGAGGAGGGAAAGGTTAGGCAAAAGGGGAAACAGAGAGGTTAGCTAGATGTTAGTCAGCTTTAACCGTTCTGTAATTGGGAGGCCTTTTAGTATGTTTTTGTATCATTTCATTTAAGCTGTGAATTCTCATGAATTCTCTCTCCCTTCCACCCACTTACAGCTGCATCCTACGACAAGAAAATATGCGTGTGGGACATTGGTGTTCCAGACTGTGACTATAATTTCAAAGAAAGGTAAGGCGGGAGACATGTATACGCTTCCAGTTTGCCAGGAGCTGAAAAGTCAGGGGAAGGTGGGAATTGACATCATCCTTCATTTGCCAGACAGCTGTTGGTGCTGGAGACCATTGCTACGCCTCTCCGAATTGCTCTCGTGCCCTCGTGCCCGGATCGATACCTGGTTGCTGGCTGTGAGCAAGGCTGCTTTGCCTGGGATATTAGACTGGATGATAAGCAGCAGAAAAACAGGTGAGCTGCTCCCACCTAGCCTTGCCCAATACAGGAGAGGTAATTAATCCACACAAATGCAGCTTATACTTTCCAATTTATTGAGCTAATTTATCAACCTGGTTTGCAAAGACTGTATACAGTCTAGCGGTTGAACCTCCTTGGTAGCTTCCTTGCCTGCTAAGAGCGCTTTGGCATGTCTGTTGACTTCCTTAGTTTCTTCAAAGTCTTTGTAATGGAAACAGCATTTAATTATTTCATAATACAGTGGTACCCCACTTGACGATTACCTCGTTATATGACAAAATTGCTTGACGATGATGTTTTTGTGATCGCTCTTGCGTTCGCAAAACGATGATTCTATGGGTGACTTTCGTTTGATGACATTGCGATTGCAAAACGATGATTCTATGGGTGACTTTCCTTTGATGACGATCAGTTCCCTGCTTCGGGAACCGATTTTTCGCTTAACGACGATAAAAAACAGCTGATTGTCGGGTTTTCAAAATGGCTCCCCGATGTGTTCAGGACGGATTCTTCACTATACAGGCACCGGAAAATGGTCGTCCTATGGAGGATCTTCGCTGGACAGTGAAGTATTTCCCCATTGGAACGCATTGACCAGTTTTCAATGCATTTCAATGCGTTTTTTTAATTTTGCTTGACGACGATTTTGCTCTACAGCGATTTTGCAGGAGCGGATTATTGTCGTCAAGCGGGGCACCACTGTATATGAATCTGGGTTATTACGGTGCACTTTTGCTGGCTCCCGCAGCTTCCCCGAGGATTGTTAATCTTCCTTGTTCTTTGTGTAGGGAAACCCTAGGGAATATGTCTGTTGGTATGAGGACCCTCTTAGTTCCTTTTAGCAACTGATCACAGAAGTCCAGGTTTTGGCCAAACCAAAGCTAGGAAAGTCACCCGTCCCAAGTCACAGCAAATGTAGCTAGTTACTGTGGGATTATCAACCAGTATCATCAGAACTTAACAGATATACGGTAAATAAAGTAACATGTAATGAGAAAGGAATTTTTCCAGGTGCAACATTTTCTAGTTACTTTAAACCATTACTTTTCAAGGGCCTTTTCAGCTGTTTGTAAAAACATTTTGAGCTGTTATGCCCTTCTCTTGTGTAGCAAGGGAAATCATGCTCTGGATTTGTCTTCTGTATTTTTATAAATATTTGTAATTAGATTTTTTTTCTGAGCCAGAGACACTTTGCCCCTAAAACAGTGTCCATGTGGTTTTTAAAGCGTGTTGCGACTTGTGTTTGGCCCCTTTGGGCCCACAGGTTGCTTGTTCCCAAGACCCAAATAGATTAGCTGTGAGGTACCGTCAAAATAAATGGCCAGGGAGGGACACTTCGTTTCCATCCCTAACTCTAACCTAGTGTTCTACATCTCCTGCCGTTCCTTTTGTAATCACTGCAGTCTTGTTCACTAGATGTTCTTTCTTTGGGGGGGCAAACTCCCCTGAAAATTCAGTCTGGAAAGAAAAACATTTGATGGCTTTTGCGTACAGGCAAAAGATGGCTTGCTCGTTCTGTGTGCTCAAATCCCCATTTCTAATGTTGCAGACCTTTTGAAGTGGAGTTTCAGTTCCCAAATGATGAAAAGAATGAGACCTCTAACCACCGAGTTGATGGCCTGGCTTTTCTGAATGAAGACATTGTGGGTAAGAAGCTTGCTTATCAGGAGATCCTTGAAACATATTAGATTAGGCCTCCTTCAGTCTTGAGAGACAAGGGTATTGTGCTCTGCATGGAGGACTTGGAACAGCATCTAGTGTGGCTGAGAAGGCCGATTGAAGAGTGACCATCCGTTCCACCCTGAAGACAAATACAGTCTGTCCCCTGTCCAGCTCCCTGATTTTGCTGCTTTTGGGACTGCCTCTTTGCCTTGGCCTGCTGGACAAGGGTCTCTTCAAATTGGGAGAGGCCGTGATGCACCACCTGCCTCCAGGCTGAACGCTCAGATGTCAGGGTTTCCCATATGTTTAGATCCGTTTCCAAGGCCTTCAGACCCCGCTTGCAGATGTCCTTTTATCGCAGTTGGGGTGCTTTCCCTGCACTAATTCTCCATATAGGAGATCTTTTGGAATCCGACCATCAGCCATTCTTACAACATGTCCAAGCCAATGTAGACGTTGCTATTTCAGTAATGTATACATGCTAAAAATTCCAGCATGTTCTAGGACTACTCTATTTGGGACTGCCAGGTGATACCAAAAATCCGTTGAAACATATATTGATTAATTAATTATGTCACATCAAGTCAGTTCTGACTAATAGGGATCCCCTCTCAAGAAAATACTCAGAAATGGTTTCCAAATTCTGGTGGCCCTCTGGGATCTCTGTGCAGGTCACCCAAAGCTATGGAGGTGGCAGGGCACATAAACCCATTAGCCACACATACTCCAGGCGATCTGAATGGACTCTTTGGTTTGAACCCGTAGCCGCTGAGCTATGTTAAGCCAGAGTAAATGATTCTTTCTTTCTGCTATTAGCATGTCAGACCCAAACTCCCCTCTGACCCAGAGTCTCATGCAAACTCCTGACATTTTGTTTATTTTTATATATTTCATATAAGAGGGGTTTTTTAAAAATGAAGAATGAATTCTACACCAAAAAAATAAATAAATTCTGCAGTCTGTCAGTTTTTTAAATCCATCAAAAAGCCAGGGAATCCCGCACCCATGACCTCTGGATATCCTGACAAACCACTATATTATTGTCTCAGAATTTTTTTATTTTATTTTTACCTTGTTCCAGCTAAACAGGTCTACCTCTAGGGCCATAAGAACTAGAAAGTTATCAAACAGTTTTTCAAAAAACATTAAAACTGGTTGGTCTATATGCCCAGTAAGTACTGTACCTCAAAGAATTTTTTTATTGGAAAATGAATCGCTTATCTAAATGGGAAGAGATTGTCCCGGCCGAAACTGCCTGGGAAGGGGGGTGGTATCACTTCAAAGTATCTTTACCCATTTGCCCTCCGCTTAAAATTGAAATGTACCTGGAGGAGAACTTTTAACAACTGAGTCTGAGAGAAAGATTTCAGTCCAGTCTACCTGCCACAGAATGAAGTGATATAGCGCTAAAGTGGTAGAATAAACTGAACTGCTTCTGATAGCCAGTGGACAGTATCCTCATTAATGGAGGATACTGTACTTGTAAAAAAACAAAATTAAATTATGCCATACAGATAAAAAACTGGCACTAAGATTATGAGCCAGCCTTCTGCTTGTTGTGCTTGTCTGTGTGTTTGATACAGAAAACCAGTTTTTTTAAAATGCAGTTGTACATCGGAGCACTTTCTGTGGGACTTTACCACCACCTCACCGCTGAACAGGGTGGTCCTGACTTGAGAGGTCACAAGTGCCGTTAGTACTAGCGCAGATTTTCCTTTTGGGGAACAGAAGAGGGTCTTCCAAGCAAATGAGCAGGAAGAGGACACCAAGATTCCTTTGTGTTAACATTCATTAAAGGAAGAGGCAAGGAACTTGACTTTCTAGGCACAGCCCTTACTCTTTCCCTGTTTCATTATTTCAGGTTTCTTTCCATAACTCTTCCATGAAAAGTGGCACGTTTTTATTCTCAGGCCCCTAAATACGCCTGAAGCTTCATCATCTTTTTTTTTTTAATTTATTTTTTAAAAAACTAGGGATAAGGTAAGGAGTACAAAAGGTAGAGGAGGATATGGAGGGGAAAGAGGGGGAAGGAGAACACAAAATGTACTGTCATCCAACCTGTTTGTTTATGATGCAATATCAAGTCGACTTTTCGCCTTTCTAACATTTGATTGCCCTCCGGGTTTCAACTTACAGTTACATCTTAGTTTAATTCTATGTTATTCAAGCACTATCTGGTGACTCAAGCCATTTATATAATAAATCCCATCATTCAGTTGCCTTTTGCATGCGACAGCCTTTCAATACTTCTGAAAGTATAAATATAAAACTAGGTAGTTCTTTGTCTTATCTGTATTATCTGGTACAATGCTCAGTAAAAACAATTCTGGGATTAGTGGAACTTTACAAAGCAGTATTTTTTGTAACCGAGTATGTACTGCTATCCAATACTGTTTCGCTACTCTCCAAGTGTACCACATATGGTAAAAGCTCCTGAAGCGTCATCATCTTGACAATCATTATACAATAACAAGTCCGTTGTGCTTCCACACATGGCATGCATCTCTCTTAGGGCATTTAAGGCTACGATCTTGTATACATGAAGTAAGTGGAACCGGTTTCCGAGTAGACGTGTCCAGGATTAGGCTGTGGACCTGCAGGTGCGGTTGAGTCAGGCAGAGCATTAGCAGCCTCTCTTGACAGGGTTGCCTTTGTTATATGACCAGGAAGTTTGATTCCACGGGTGCGCTGCTGCTGTTGTTGTCTTTGTCCTATCACTTTCATGAGTGTTGATCTGAAGTCACACCACCTATCAGGGCCTGTTTGTTTTCTTCCCTCCTCAGTCACCAAGAGTTCGAAGACGGCCTCTATCAACCTCTGGAGCTGGAGTCGCTCGTTCAAACAAGGGAAGGGTGGGCGGAGGACGGTGCAGGCCGTCATTCTGGCTGAACTGGAGTGGTCCTCAACAGATCTGCCTTACCTCACCCTCAGCACATGCCCAAGTAAGTGCTGACCCACGCCACCACCGGGCCGGAGGGGTGCGGGCCTCTGTTCCAGAATTCACTTAGCTCCCCTGAGAGCTGCTGGTTGGTCACCTTCTTCTCTCAAATGGGCTTCCTCAAGGGTGTCCAGTCCTTTTTTGATGATTGCGCGATAAAATCATAGAATCCTAGCATCATGAAGTTGGAAGGTGCCTAGAAGGCCATCGAGTCCAACCCCTTGCTCAAGCCAAAGCAGATCTGACAGACGGGTGTCCAGTTTTCTCTTGAATGGCTCCATTGTTGGAGTGCTCACCACCTCCCGAGGTCATTGATTCCATTGTTGTGCTGCTCTAACAACGAAGAAGTTTTTCCTGACTTGCAGCCTAAGTCTGGCTTCCGGTAGCTTGAGCCCATTCTTACGTGTCCTGCACTCTGGGATGATGGAGAACGGATCCTGTCCCTCCTCAATATAACTGCCTTTAAAGGATTTGAAAAATGCTATTTTATCTCCCTTCAGGCCTTATGTTCTCAAGGTTAAACATGCCCAGTTCTTTCAGTCTTTCCTCAAAATGTAACACCAGTCATGCCTTGTCGATATAGACCTTCCATTTGGGCCACTGTTAACATGGTAGCTGCCTAGCCGGCATTCCCAAAGCTTCTACAGCAGTGGTTCTTAACCTTGGGTTACTCAGGTGTTCTTGGACTGCAACTCCCAGAAGCCTTCACCACCAGCTGTGCTGGCTGGGGTTTCTGGGAGTTGCAGTTCAAAAACACCCGAGTAACCACTGTTCTAGAGCATTGGTTAAGCCTGTCTGGGGGAAGTGATAGGGTCGCAAAGTCATGGTGGACCTTCATGAATAGCGCTAGAAGAGCGGGCACCTGCTTTGACAGAAAGCTTGGTGCCGGCCTTACCAGATCCTTCACCTGCATCCCAAAGATTGTTGAGCTGAAACCAGACAGTTGTATCGCTTTGCAAAACAAGCTATAACAAACATTGTTAAACCATCAATACATTTTTTTAAATAAAACCAATACAATTTCAATGAAAGGTTAAAATATTCTGTACCTTTGTAGACTATTTAACCATAAAGCCTTGATGATAGCAACATACCAGCAGAGACCCTCTTGCATAGCTATGAAATGGCACAATATTTTGGAGGTAAATTGCCCCAAGGTAAGAAATCACTACAATATTGTCATTTGCATACACATACAACTTCATATTAAACAAATAGCAAGCTTTTGTGGATGAAATCCACTTTTTGGGGGGGGGGGTTCTAAGCCCATCTCCTGTATGGGTGGTACACAAAATTTCAGAGAAGAGTCCAAAAACGGACGATCCAGGTCTTCTTGAGGCTGGGTAGTTCATGTCCAAAAGTTATGCCATTTATGTTACACCCATGTAACTCAGTAAGAAAATTTCAGCTACTGTCAACTTAGCAATAATTAAATGGTACTGTATCAAGTGATCTTGAGTAGAGCAGTTAATCTTTAACCATCAACTTTGTTTGTAGCAAGGAGTGTAAACGTTGTAACGATAGCAGAAAGCCAAGCCATTTGTAATATGGTAAATTTATCTTTGCCTGATAGTAGTACCATTAATTTATCCTGATCTCGTCTTCTGGGTAATTTGTTTTAAATTGGACTTTAAAAGTCTTTCACACTCAACTGTAAATACAGAATCCTACAATACTGGATGTAGAGAGCTGTTAACAACCTCACAATCACAAGGGCAGACTCTTTCATTGTACTGGGCCCTGTTACAATAACTTTCTAATTCATCAAGAAGTAGCACAATAGGAACCCTGAATCCACAGGATCAGAATCCGCTGATTCACTTATAGCCAGTCTGAAAATATTAAAACAAAAATCGCAATACTGGATGTAGAGAGCTGTTAACAACCTCACAATCACAAGGGCAGACTCTTTCATTGTACTGAGCCCTGTTACAATAACTTTCTAATTCAGCAAGAAGTAGCACAGTAGGAACCCTGAATCCTAATAAAATACTGTAGCGGTCACTAAAATTGTGTTCTTCAGCATCCATGCGAATGGGCCTTGGAACAGATCACCCACAAATATGGGGGTCGTAAAGATGAAGTTACCAGACCTGGCCACTAATAAAATAGTGTTCACTATAATTGCGTTCTTCAGCAGCCATGCGAATGGGCCTTGGAACAGATATGGGGGTCATACTATGAGCAAAAGATGCCTTTTTAAACAAACCTGGGGAATATTTTATTTGCTAACTGACCAACAAATCTGAATTAGTAATATTAAATATGGTAAGCTGGTTAGTGTAGAGAAATTTATTTACTTCTAACTAAAGGGTACAAATTTTATTGTATTTGTATTAATATCACCAGCTTTCCTAGAAAGTACATTTGATGGTGGGGTCACAACTGCAAAATTATTTTGTCCGGCAGAAGGTCCTTTTCTGTGTGAAAGTTACAGTTANATAAAATAAATAAATAAATAAATAAAGGGTACAAATTTTATTGTACAGTATTTGTATTAATATCGCCAGCTTTCCTGGAAAGTACATTTGACGGTGGGGTCACAACTGCAAAATGATTGCCAGCCACTTGTATTTTGTCCGGCAGAAGGTCCTTTTCTGCGTGAAAGTTACAGTTCATATTATATGGAAAGAACCTTATATATTCCAACATGAGTTCTGAATAGTGAACCATTTCTCAGACTGAAGGAAGAAATTCTTGCCACTCAAGACATCCACATGGCTGTGGTTTTATACAATGATCTTCTAATTGAAGCACTGAGACCTTTTTCAGTTAAGGATGTCGGATGAAAATAGGCAAGCTAGTGGGAACAGTTTACAAGAGGTAGCTGCATTGGTCTGTTTCACCAGGTTGATAAAAATTAAAGTGGGAAAAAAGAGGGGGAGGAGACAAAGGATAACATATATGTTTCAGGAAGTGGATTTTGATCCACAAAGCCTCATCTCAAAACAAATCTGTTTAAGGTGCCACAAGATTTTGTTGCCTCCCTCCCCCCTTTTTAATGTCACAACAATAGAGAATGCTCCTAAGGTGGAAAAGAAGGTTACAGAAGTGCAGTATGCCTGTGGAATTGGTTCCAAGCCCCTCTACAGATGCCCCAAAACTTGGAAGTATCAAACGCTACACATCACATTGTAGTAAATACACTCTGTACATGCATATAGATATGTATTTCTGGGATTTTTTATTCAGTATTTTCAGGCAGAGGATTAATCGAATCCGCAGATACCAATCTCGTGGATAGAGAGGTCCTACTGTAAATTAAAGCTAAGCGTTCAGCAGCGTCTTCCTTTGAGATTCACAGTATATAAAAGGAGAAAAGAAAATCTTGCCTCAATAAAAGGATCTTTCTTTGCTTCTAACACAGGAAGGCAGTGAGGTTTGTTTGCTTGTTCGTTTAAATGAGTTCTGGTGTCTACCTGCAGTCTTGGAAGGGAGCGTCCACTGAGATGTCAGATTCTTTGAGAGGGAAGGCCACGCTTAAAAGCATGATTTTGTTGTTCTGTTTTTGCTTTACTCCTGCAGCAGAAGAGTATGTGTTCTGTGGCGATGAAAAGGGAAGCGTCTGGATGTATGACCTTAGCAACCACTTATCTGCTCTGAGCGCAGCCAAGGAAGATTCTTCGACCAAAAGAATAGGGCCTTCGCAGGTATGCAGATCTTTCCGTGTCTTTCTGTGGTCTGTTCTAGGTCTCTGTTCATGCTTGTCTTTTGCTAAATTACCAGGCCACTTAAAGCTACAGTTACAAACCTCTGCTAGACCTCAGCTGATGACTTTTGGCTCTTTGGGTGTTTAAATTCCAAAACAAACAACAGAACAACCTTATCATTGTTTTTTTTTTTTTAAGATGAACATTTGTCGTGATTGTAACTTCCCTGGACTAGAACCCATCAAATTCACGAAGCGTTCTAAGCCCCAGCTTTGCTGTGTTGAGTGAAAACGGTGGTAGGAAGGAAGCCACTGATTCTGCTCAGACACATAGAAGGGACATATTTATTTATTTTCAACTTATACATCAAGGCAGGAATCCAAATCAACAGAGGGTGGTCCGATTTTCTCTTCCACATGTCGGTGCAGGAGCCCTCAACACCTCCCGAAGTCATGGGTTCCACTGTCGTACTGCTCTAACAGTCAGGAAGTTTTTCCTGGCATTCAGCCTCCATCTGGCTTCCTGCAGCTTGAGCCCCTTGTTGCGTGTCCTGCCATCTGGGATGATGGGGAACAGATCCTGCTCCTCCTCTGTAGGTCTACCTTTCAAGTCTTTGAAAAGTGCTCTCCTCTCTCCCCTCAATTTAATTTTCTCAACCTGCCCAGGACCTTCAGTTAAGGCCCCACTAAATCCCCATTTTATCTGGGCCCACTGAGCAACAATGTTCTACTTGGCAGCATTATGTGAAGTTAGACAAGCCTGGTTAGAGATCCTCTAATTAATGCTTCCCGCACTCGCCTTTTTCACTTAGGTACTGAAGTGGCCCGAACTGAAGGCGAATGGTGAGCTGCTGACAGATGTCTTGGTAAACAACGTGGTCACGGACCCCACGTTCACATACCTGGTTGCCCTGACTGATGTAAACATTGCCGCAATATGGAAGAAAACCTAGCTGTGCTGGCTTTTCGCCCCAAGAAATAGGAGCCACTTTTGTCTCATCCACGTTTCAGTAGTGCAGTATTTGTGACCGTTCGGAGAATAACCAGGGATGGGTGGGTGGGTGAATTTTAAGTTCCACATGTATCAATGCAAGAAAATCAACCAAAGGCATTGGCTAGAACCACGTGTTGTTGCCGCCAATGCCCACATCTCTTAACTGTGAATTTGATTTATTGGTGTATTAAGTGTATTTGTTTTATAGAAGGACAGTATTTAATAAAACTTGATACGAGGTAACGGGAAGCAGCTCTTTTAAAATAAAATGGGAAAGGAAATAAAGAGTACCTGTCCCTAGACTTTTATCCTGGCTTAGCCGGGAGGCTTATTGGGAATGGTCCAATATCACCATCATCATCACTGTAGCACTGCAGAAGTGGAAGGGACCCCCTGTGGATCATCTGGTCCAGCCTCTGCCAAGGAGGCACCGTGGGGGAATTTGAACTCCCAACCGATGCCGCAGCCACAGAGCTATATTGCAGTCTTACCTCTTAAATTTTCCCTACTCACTTGATGCCCTGTGATGTGACATCCACCTCCTCTCCCCACTTATGCATCATCCCAACAACTTAGCTACCTTGCCCAGGTTATTTTAAAATGTTGCACCCAAGGGCTCAAGTGCAATGAGATGGTCACTGTTAGGGTTCAAGAGCAGCATTTCTTTGCCGGTACAATGGTGGTTTGTTTATGTATTCCCTTTCCAAAGAGCAGAGGCCGTCCAGATGAGAGGAGGGAGTAGAAACACCTTTTTTCCATCAAAGGCTCAGCTAGGACTCGGGCACTACTTTGGAGCTGCTCGTAAGACGCCTCTTCTTCTGATCCTCTTGATGCTGAAACTTAGCACAGTAAAGTTTTCTTCTATACATTACCAGACAGAGAGAGCTGGAAGCTTGCGGTTCCTGAGGTTTCTCCTAACTCCACCCTATATGGCTGCCTCTGGTTGTAGGCCAACGCAAAGCGCAGGCAACCCATGATCGCCTTGAGGTAAGCTGGTATGCCCTGGTGAGGGACAGGCAGATACGCCCTGATTTCTGCAGTGAGGGACCAGGAAATCATGTCGCTTAAGAGGCTGAACACCTGGAGGCCTGGGGTAGCCACAGTCAATGTTGAATAACATTCATATTAACAATGAGGAGTTTGGAAATTCTGCTGTCTGGGTTGGGAAACTGCTGTTTGCGGTCCATGTTGAGGCCATGGATTAAGCTGGATGCTTTGATGGGCAACTGCTTTCCCTGCAGGCAGCAAGGTTCTTAATCCAAGTCAGTAGGACCCCCTGTATCCACAGGGGATGCTGAAAAACGGGAATTATAACAAATGCTATTTTAACGGTGAACGCCATCCATGGCATGGTTTTTGGCTCGCTCTAAGCAGCCAGTTCTGATAGCTTCATCTTTAGAAAAAATTCTAGGATTTTTCTTTTAATATTTTCAGACCAGGGATAAATGAATCAACAGATACTGATCCCGCAGATAAGAGGGTCCTATTGTATGTGCATGGCCATTGGTCGATCCTCATTTTAGCCACTGGGCTCCTTGACTATCATTGCGCCTTTCCCTAGCCGGGCCTTTCATTTTTCCCTGGAAGAGAGCTAATCTGTGCACAAAACCATGCATTCCGGTGGAATAGGAGTAAGCAGAAATGATGCTGCAGTTAATAAATGTTGGTGTGCTCTTGCACTGCACAGGGTCCAGGAAGCAGGGAGGAAAATTTCCATTCTATCCTGTTAAGATTCTGGACACAAGGGAAAGATCTGCACAAACCACTATGCCCCACTCCCCAAACTTTCCTGGTGGAGGGAATTTCCAGAAGTCCCCTCCCTGACCCCATGAGCCCCCCTGACCACAGTGATCACAAGGATATTTGCTGGAGTTTGCACACCAACCTTGTAAGGTACTACTAGGCATCCTTCAGTCTCAATAGACTATGGTAACATGCTCTGTATGGAGGACCTGGAACAGCGTCTAGTGTGGCTGAGAAGGCCAATTCGAGAGTGACCATCCCTTCCACACTGAAGACAAATACAATCTGTCCCCTGTCCAGCTCCCTGATTTGGCTGCTTTTGGGACTGCCTCTTTGCCTCGGCCTGCTGGACAAGGGTCTCTACATTGGGAACGGCCATGATGCACCGCCTGCCTCCAGGCTGAACGCTCAGATGTCAGGGTTTCCCACCTGTTGAGGTCCATTCCTAAGGCCTTCAGATCCTGCTTGCAGATCTCATTGGATCACAGCTGTGGTCTCCCTTGGGCGATTTCCCCATACAGGAGATCTTTTGGAATCTGACCATCAGCCATTCTCATTACACGCCCAAGCCAATGTAGACATCGCTGTTTCAGTAATGTATACATGCTAAAAATTCCAGCACATTCTAGGACTACTCTATTTGGAACTTTGTCCAGCCAGGTGATACCAAAAATGCATCAGAGACAATGCATATGGAAGGTGTTCAGCTTCCTCTCCTGCCGTGCACAAAGAGTCCAGGACTCGCTGCAGTACAGGAGTGTGCTCAGGATACGGGCTCTATAGACCTGGATCTTGGTATATGCTGTCAGCTTCTTATTAAGCCATACTCTCTTTGTGAGTCTAGACTGAGAATATGGTAGCTGCTTTGCCAACTCAACATTTAGGGAGAGAGTGTCAGAGATCATTGAGCCAAGGTGCACAAATTCATGAACAACCTCCAATTCTTGTGTGGAGATGGTAATAGAGGGAGGTGAGTCCATGCCCTGGCCCATGACTTGTGTTTTCTTCAGACTGATTGTTAGTCCAAAGTCTTGGCAGGCCTTGCTAAAACGATTCATGAGTTGTTGGAGGTCTTCAGCAGAGTAGACAACAATGCCTGTATCATCTGCGAAGAGGAAGTCCCGTATGCATTTCAGTTGGACTTTGGTCCTTGCTCTCAATCTACAGAGATTAAAGAGCTTTCTGTCTGATCTAGTCGGGAGATAGACACTTTCCGTTGCAGTTCCAAAGGCATGCTTCAGCATGACAGCAAAAAAGATCCCAAAAAGGGTTGGTGCAAGGACACAGCCCTGTTTCACTCCGCTTCGGATGTCAAAGGGGTCTGATGTTGAGCCATCAAAAACTACAGTGCCCTTCATTCCCTCATGAAAGGACCTGATGATGTTAAGGAGACGAGGTGGACATCCAATTTTGGTAAGTATTTTAAAAAGGCCACCCCTGCTAACCAAATCAAAGGCCTTTGTGAGATCTATTAAGGCCACAAAGAGTGGCTGTTGTTGTTCCCTACATTTCTCCTGCAACTGTCTGAGGGAGAATACCATGTCAGTGGTGGATCTATTAGCTCCTACTGTGTAATGTAGGAATACCAAAATACCCACAAGAGGTTCAGACTCCTGAACCAACAACCCCCTTCTCGGAATGACCAAACTGATGGAGGAATTTGGTTTTTTTATTATTATCTTATAAAATATGTTGCAAAGGAAAATAAAGGTAGAACAACAAATTCAAGAAAAAATTGAAACAACATGAAATAAACCTAGATCCAAGAATGTTCAGATTGAGGAGCCTCAACAAATCTAGAATACTCACCACAGAAATCAATAATCCTGTACACAACTCACAATACAGTCGAACTGAAGGATAGTCCCAGAGCATATGCAGACTGCAAGAGACTAACAAGGGAGACTCTAATCCTGAGGGACCAGGCTGAACAGGTCAATCATCTGAGCATCATCTACCTTTGTTTATGCCGTCACAGATCAGATGCAAAGTTAGACAGAATCTTCTAAAAGGAATTAATTTTTCTGCAAAGTAGCTGATTGATCCCCCCCCCTTTCTGTCAGTTCCTTTTAGATCAGATGCAAAGTTAGACAGAATCTTCTAAAAGGAATTAATTTTTCTGCAAAGTAGCTGTCAGTTCCTTTGTGTCTGGAGCAGGTTGTTTGATTCAGAGCAACACAAAGACATGGAATCACCTGCAGCAAGAATCTAAAATCAAATGCTAGCGGTGCGGGATATTCTTCACACAAGGCACAGAAGTTGCTTTTTGACTGGTCCCTGACCCTTAAACTGGGTTTAATTGCAGCAGGACCCCCGTATCCCTGGGAGATGGGTTCCGAGCCCCACTACACCTAGTACCGAACACTACTGTAAATGCTGTTGCAGTGGAATTGATAAGTTGGGGGAAAGGTGACATGATCAGTAAAAGAGGATAATTATAATAACAAGTTATTGGAAAGTGGCCACTCTCTCTCTCTCTCTCTCAAAAATATTAATGTGCTTCTTCATCCTCTTGTGGGGGTGACACAAGAACCATGCGATGCAATGAAGTGAGGTAAATGAGACAGGCATTGTGATGGCATTTAGGCTACTGTTGACTTTGTGAGGACATGTCAGAAAGATCACCTGCTTCAGGGGATCCTGGTCCATCGAGCGATGACACTGTTGACGGCTGGAGTTCACAAGCAAACAACGCCGATGGACGGAGATCTTCCACGGTTGAAAGGCTTTCCTCTGAAAGAAACCTTTTGGAAGAACATTGTGATTGGAATTTATTTCATTTTCTTCAACTCGTCAAAGTACTGCTGCAGGGGCTGCAACGCTTCGGTGAGCATACGGTTGACTTTAATGCTGCGTTCCATCCGAGGATCAGATTCCGTAATTTTGTCCTTTAAAGCTTGAGCAATCTGGAACACTTCGGCAAATTTCTCCACCGTCCACATGGCCGGTTCTTCTGCCGCTTCTTCCTTCACCTTTTCCTCTTCCTCGTCCTCCGTAGATGACTTCACAAGTTCTTCCCACTCTTCATTGGTTAACACTTCCCGATGGCTTTCGATATGTTCTTTCACTTCTTCATCAATCATATCGACAAAGCCTTCTCCACCGATCCGTCTGGCGGCCTCAGTTATTTTCCTAACTTCTCGGTCGATCTCCGGGAAACCCTTAAAATCATTCACGACTTCGCCCCACAGATTCTTCCAGCAGGCGTTTACGGTCTCTGGTGTTAATCCATCCACAGCGGCTCCAATAAAGGAAACTGCGTCCGCAATACTGAACGATTCCCAGCACTTCATGATGTCAAGATTCGGGTCGGCATCCATTGCCGATCGAAGGCGATCAAAGACCAGACGGGTGTACGTGGCCTTGACACACCGGATGGCACCCTGATCAAGCGGCTGAAGCAATGACGTCGTTTGGGGAGGCAAAAACACAACATCCACATTTCCATCTTCGCAGCAAACAGACTCGGGATGGCCCGGCGCACTGTTGACGATCAACAGGGCTTTAAACGGCAAGCCTTCCTGTTCAAAATACTCTTTCGCCTCCAGGATGAAGCACTGGCGGAACCATTCAATGAATAAGCTGTCTGTGAGCCAAGCATGCCGGTGGTGTTGCCAGAACACGGGTAGGTAACTTTTGTCCTTGTCTTTCAGAGCCCGCGGATTCTTCGCTCTGTAAACTACGCCCGGCTTTATCATATGACCTGCCGTGTTACCGCACAGGATCAGAGTTAATCTGTCCTTCCAGAGTTGGCACCCTGGGGCCTGCTTTGCACATTTCTGGATGTAGGTTCGTTCTGGCATCTTCTTCCAGAACAGCCCAGTCTCATTGCAACTGAAGACTTGCTTGGGGTGGTATCCTTTCTCCTCAATCAACTCCTTCAACTCTTCCGGAAAAGTCGCCACCGCGTCGTCCTCAGCAGGGGCAGCCTCTTCAGTGAGTTTTACACTTCTTAGTCCGAACCGGTTTCTAAATCTGTGTAACCACCCCCTACTTGCAATGAAGGGCTTGCTGTCATTTGTTTCGGGCGATCCTTTGCTAAAGTCTTCGTACAGGGTCAGTGCCTTTCGACACAACACATTATTGTCAACCGTAACCCCGTTTCTGTTCATGTCTTCCAGCCACAAATTTAATGCTTTTTCCACCTTAACTAAACACTTGTCACGTACTGTGGCCATAACTTTGGCGGTCTCAGGGGCCACAGCAAGAGTTGCCCGAATTTCTTTTTCTTGTTTCACAATCCCGCGGATAGAAGATTCGTTCTTGCCGTACATCCTGGCAACTTCAACAAACGATTTTTTTTCTTTCCCTATTAAATCGAGGATTTTCCCTTTTTCGCTTAAAGTAAGCACTTGGCGACTTCTCTTCGGCACATTTGGCTTGCCACCATCACTCCTTCTGCGCTTTGACGCCATTGTTAAAGTAAAAGAAGGGTTACGTGAAAACAAGCGATACTGTGAAATCGGATCTGAAAACCAAGACAGCTATTAAATGATTAAAGGTATTTCTTGAATTTTCTATTTAGTTTTCTCAGACCTCGGTCAACTCAAATTGCAGATGCCGATCCCGGGGATAGGGGGTCCTACTGTAACATGAAAATGCACGCCTCAAGAACAGACTCTTTTAACCTTTCTTCAGGGCTTTAAAAAAGGACTTCAAGATGACCATAACAAAAGAAAATGATAACTGTGAATACTCGTGAGGCGTTCCCTACTATAACTAAAATGCACAATGCGTATACTTTTCTATAACCTGGAAAATACTTTTGAGGGAGATTGACAGCGGTAAAATATCCTTGCTGTTCCTTTTAGTCCAGTGGTCCCCAACCTTGGGCCTCCAGATGTTCTGGGACTACAATTCCCAGAAGCCTTCATCACCACCTGTGCTGGCCAGGATTTTTGGAAGTTGAAATGCAAGAACATCTGGAGGCCAAAGTTTGGGGACCATTGTTTTAGACCTCTCAGTGGTCTTTGATACCATCAACCACAGTATCTTCCTAGGGAGGCTCTCTCGAGTTTGGTGGCCTGGCTTTGTCCTGGCACCAGTCCTTCTTGGCCATCTCCCACAGAAGCCTCTGTGCTGCAAGGTCAGAAGACCAGCAGTCGTAAGATTGAATCTGTGCGACAGAGTGAGCTCCCATCACTTGTTCCAGCTCCTGCCAACCTAGCAGTTCAAAAGCATGTAAAAATGTGAGTAGATAAATGGGTACCACATCGGTGGGAAGGTAACAGTGTTCCATGTCTAGTCGTGCTGGCCATATGACCACGGAAATTGTTTTCAGACAAAGGCTGGCTCTATAGGTTGGAAACGGGGATGAGCACCGCAACCTAGAGTTAGACACGACTGGACTAAATGTCAAGGGGAACCTTTACCTTTATAGATAACAGCAAGAACAACATGGTAATGAATTAAGAATCTTTTATTACTTTTAAAGCTTGTAAGGTGAATTTAGTTAGTTAGGAAGGAAATATAGCTGGGAAACACATCAGGTACAGCACAATTATTGTAGTGTTTTACATTTGGTAGTGTCATAAGAAACCTAGCTAATATTGTCTCCATTGAGATGGATGTTCAGCATACGTATATATTTTATATTAGCTGTCTAAGTCTGGATGTCTTGTAATTTCTCTTTTCTGGAATGGCAACTTTCAGATGGTGTGCACTTTTGCCTCCGTTTTAAGAACATCGGACCATCCTTGTTTATGCCACCACCTGGCTGACCATGAACAGCTTTATTCCAGGAGGAGCAAAGAGACTACACAGATGGGAGAGTGGGGGACAATATAAAGGGAAGAGTGAAATAAAATACCCAGAAAAAGGGGCTTCACGAACCGATACTCCCAAGAGGAACACTCCATGTGACAACCAGTGGCTTTTCCTACCCCAAAAACTCATTTGAAATGAAAGATGCCATTAAAAAAATAGCAGAAAGACAGAAACCCATTTAACCTGAAGGATTATCATTTGCGAATCAATTTGTGAAAATGAGACTCCTTTACTCACGACTTAATGATATTCCCAAGCGTGTGATCCTCCTTGTTAATGATAAACAGGCAGGCGTTGGGTACTTTTGTGTCCTTGTTTATGGTAATCCTGGAAGAAAGAAGCAGGGAAAAGACCCACGCCCATTATTTCTAAGGTGACGTGAAAGCTTTTACTACACTACGGAGCAGCAAGAAGACACCTCTGGACCCTAGATGGCATTTCTATTTACATGTTCAAAGAACTAAAGTAAACTTCAGACTTACCAGAAGAAGACAAGACTCGGGTGAGGGGTGGGGTGGGGAGAACAATAGTGCTGGGGAATGTAGCAATAAATCCTTTTTAAAAACCTGAAGGTGAAATAGATTAACTCTATAAAGGAAGCCATGGCTTTGGGATGCAGTAACGTCTGACCAATGTTGCATGTTTTTAGTTCTATTGCAAACGCTCTATTTTTTTATTTATTATTTTATTTTATTTATATCCCGCCAATCTGGTCAAACAAGGACCACTCTAGGCGGCTAACAATCTTAAAATAGTACAATAAAAATGTAAATAGCAGTTCTAAATCATAAAACACTAATTACAATGCGAAAAACACAAAACATAGAACAGTAAGGAAGAAAGAAAGAAAGAGGTCATGAGTTATATGATGGGAAGGCCTGCCGAAACATCCAAGTTTTTAATTGCTTCTTGAAGGTACCCAGTGAGGGAGCCGCGCAAATCTCCGGAGGTAAGTTGTTCCAGAGGCGAGGAGCCACCGCCGAGAAGGCACGATTTCTTGTCTTCTCCTTCCGGGCCTCCCTCAGCGTTAGGCTCCTCAGCCTCACCTCCTGGCTCGCTCGAGTGACACGGGTAGAACTTGGTGGGAGTAGGTGTTCCACCAAGTATCGAGGCCCTAAACCGTTTAGGGCTTTATAGGTAAGCATCAACACTTTGAAGTCGATGCGGAATCGGATGGGCAGCCAATGCATGTAAATGTTTCCCCTTTAACCCCCCCCTAATATTCTGGCACAAACGAGGCCACCTCTTCTAAAACTAAAACAACGGTCAGGCAAGATGGGATTTGTAATCGAAGCACCTCTGGAGGCCTCCAGGTTCTCCCCCCCCCGCCCCCACATAATTATTAGTTAGAGAGAGAGACAAGTGTGTGTGTCTGTGTCAGCCATGGTTAGGGGATTCTGGGCATTGTAGTCACCTAAGAGAAACAATGGCTCCAAACCTTGCTGCAGGCGGTCTAGCTAGCCACGATGGGGATTGTAGTCCAAAACACCATCTGGCCAATAGTAAGATATGATGGTGTTTGTAGTCCAAAACACCTCTGGAGGCCCCAATTCCCCCCCCCCACTCGTCCTGCTGATTTCAAGACACCCCCCACCAGAAGGAAACCCTTCCTCCTCCTCCTTGCCTTCCGGCTCTCCACTCACTTTTTCTCCCCCTTGAAAAGCAAGAAGGACTCGAAAGCTGGCGGAGCGTTCATGGTCCTCACCGGAAAAGCAGAGGTACCCGCCTTCTGAGATAAAATCACTTCCGGTTGACCGTAACCCCTCCCGCTCTTGCATTTCGGCCGCCCAATTCCACTTCCGCCCTCCTCCCCCTCTAGTGGCCAGGCGCGGGAAGTGCACCGTTTTGATGGCGAGCCGGCCGGCCGGCCCCCCCCAAGAGGCCGCTCTATCCCACCATCTATGATGAAAAAGGGTTGAAAGCTGGTAAGGAGCCTGCGTTACCGGGAGAGACCAGTAGAGGGCGGGAGTGGCCGGTCGCTGGAACCGGGGTTACTGTGAACCGGAAGTGAATTGGACTCACAAGGAAGGCGCCGCTGCCGTTCCGGTGAGGACCATGAACGCTCCGCCGGCTTTCGAGTCCTTTTTACTGTTCAAGGGGGAGAAAAAGTGAGTGGAGAGCCGGAAGGCGAGGAGGAGAAGGAAGGGTTTCCTCTTGAAATCAGCAGGCCGGGCGGGGGGGGGGAAGTGGGGCCTCCAGAGGTACTTCGGACTACAAACCCCATCGTGCCTGACCATTGGCCAGGCCGCCTGCAGCGAAGTTTGGAGCTATTCTCTTAGGTGACTACAACGCCCAGAATCCCCTAACCGTGGTTGACTCTCTCTGGCTAATTATCGTATTATGTTAGTTCTTTTATTTCCTCAGACTCCGGATAAGGCACGGGTGGTAGACGTTGTGGTCATGCTGGCCGAGGGATTCTGGGAGTTGTTGTCCAGAAAAATAAATCAACAAATGCTGTGGTGGGCTGTGGGCGATGATGGCCAGGGGCTGGGAGCTGAGGGGGAAAGCTCTCCTGTGGGGTCTGGGCCAGGCTCTCCCCCCCATGTCCCCACAGGCTGAGGGACCCAGAGCACCCCCCAGAATGAGGGAGGGCTTAACCACTCCTCATTGGATCCACTATGATATTATTATATGTGCGTGAAAGCCTTTGCGAATACATAGAATAAAATATTACTTGTTGGCCCTGCTAGCCTGTGCTGCCAGCATATCAGGGAAAATCCAAAGCGGGGGGAGAGAAGCTATATGTTTAAAAAGAGAGTGTTTACAATTGAACTGAAAACACCAAACATCAGTCAGACATTACTGCACCAGAGAAGTAGCCACACACCCGAGACTCTCAAAGACCGGGACTGTTTTGAATGTTTTCTTTGCGGACTCTTGTGTTTCATTTTCTTGCCTCCATTGGAGGAAGAGGACCTGATCCGCGAAAGCTCGCATCAAATCAGAATTGTTAGTCTTGAAGGTGCCACATGGTTTTTATGTTTTGTTCCTTTCTTTCCTCGGTTTGGATTTTGGCTCAGAAAATCTTATTTGCTAATTAATGGCAGAAGCATTATGGATGATGGGGGTCGGGGTCCAGCTGTTGGGAATTCATGGCACTCTGTGTGCGTGTATACACAGAGACAGAGAAGAACAAACATATTCTAAGTTCTGGGCAAAGGCTTATGAGAATCGGAGTCCAGCGTCTGAAGGTCTGTGGGTTCCCGAATGGAAGAGAAAGCTTCAAAGATTGGCAAGGCTGTTTCTCTTGGGAAGTCTTGGCACTGGTGCATGAATGAGGTGCGAAAGAGGTTCGTTGTCTCAGACCTAAGGCATAAGAGCAGGAGGATTCTGTGTGCAGTGTCCTGGAATCCGTTCCTGGTGGAAGATCTGAAACCTTGCTGACGGTCAGGAAATGGGGAGGTAGAAGGCGGGAAGGCAAAAGGAATATGATGGTATCAACAGCTTTTAGCATCGTTCTTATGTGCCTCCGAGTTTCTTCTGACTTATGGTGAGCCAATGAATGAATGACCTCCAAAACATCCTACAGACAGAGGGCCTCGGTATCTCCAGGGGGTTGGTTCCAAGCCCCCTTCGGATGGAAACTGGAAAATGCAGAAGTGTCAAAGGTCTCTGGGTATTTTTAATCAGCAGGTAAGTGAATCAGCAGATAGGTGGATCCTACTGTCTTATTCAAGTCTTGCACCTCAAGGCCATGGCTTCCCTTATGGAGTTGATCTATTTCACCTTCAGGTTTTTAAAAATGATTTATTGCTATATTTCCAAGCACTATTTTTTTTCCTCACTGAGTCTTGTCTTCTTCTGGTAAGTCTGAAGCTTAGTTCAGTTCTTTGAACATCTAAAGAGAAATACCATCTAGGGCCCAGAGGTGTCTTCTTGCTGCTCCATAGTATCTGAAAAGCTTTCACGTCACCTTAGAAATAATGGACGTGGGTCTTTTCCCTGCTTCTTTCTTCCAGGATTACCATAAACAAGGACACAAAAGTACCCAACGCCTGCCTGTTTACCATTAACAAGGAGGATCACACGCTTGGGAATATCATTAAGTCGTGAGTAAAGGAGTCTCGTTTTCACAAATTGATTCGCAAATGATAATCCTTCAGGTTAAATGGGTTTCTGTCTTTCTGCTATTTTTTTAATGGCATCTTTCATTTCAAATGAGTTTTTGGGGTAGGAAAAGCCACTGGTTGTCACATGGAGTGTTCCTCTTGGGAGTATCGGTTCGTGAAGCCCCTTTTTCTGGGTATTTTATTTCACTCTTCCCTTTATATTGTCCCCCACTCTCCCATCTGTGTAGTCTCGGGGAACCACACGGCCGTCTCTTTGCTCCTCCTGGAGTAAAACTGTTCATGGTCAGCCAGGTGGTGGCATAAGCAAGGATGGTCCGGTGTTCTTAAAACGGAGGCAAAAGTAAGGCCGCGTCATTCCTCTCCCCAAGACAAACTGCAGGGAGTTTAGTCCTTTAAGGTACACGAGCTGCAACCCAGAAGCCAAGCACTTTGTATGAGGGGCAGCCCCAGATAAGAGAGGGTTGCAGTCATCCAGGAGAGAGGCCCACGTTTTGCAGGCTGGACCTGATCTGGCCAAGGCAGGGGCTCGTTTCATTGCGTGTGGCGTTTCCTCCTCCTTCCAGGCAGCTACTCAAAGATCCCCAGGTCCTTTTTGCCGGTTACAAGGTCCCTCACCCTCTTGAGCACAAGATCATCATTCGCGTCCAGACAACACCCGATTACAGCCCCCAGGAAGCCTTCACCAACGCCATCACGGATCTCATCAGCGAGCTTTCCCTCCTCGAGGAGCGCTTCCGGGTAAGCCGCCCCGTTCTGAGCCAAGTTGCAGTGTGCTGCTCCTAGGTGGGGAGGCTCATCCCGTGTCTGGTTCCAGCATGCCCTCGGACTGCGGAGGATGGAGAGAGCAGGCCAGCGTTGGGCCCTGTTCCAAGCCCATAATTAAGAGGGGAAACAACACTCCGGAATCCGACTTGGCTAACAACGGGTCTGGCCAAAAGGGCAAGGGGACAAAAGAGGTCTCTTGCCGTTGACCCCTTTGCTGTAGGACCGTTAAGGGAAATGGATCTTTCTGCAAGAAACCATATGTAGCCAAATTTGCAAACGTTCTTCTTGTGCCTCTCTTACAGGTGGCCATCAAAGACAAGCAAGAAGGCATTGAATAGGAACACAGCCTCTTAGCCGGCTGGTTGTAAATAATTTCGATTTTCCCAGACGTCTTGGCTACTGAGTAGCAAGCTCGTGAAGCAGGCGGCTGAACTGTTTGTAAGTGACTTAGAGGAAAGTGTTTCTCTGTTGGCTAATAAATTTTTCTTTTGCTTTTAATCTGAAATGCTTATTTTTTTAAGAAACAGTGTGGTTGTTTTGTCAGTAAAGACACAGTATCTTGAAACAGTATCATGTTCTCTTAGGAAAAGTATTTTCCAGGTTATGGAAAAGTATACACCTTGTGCATTTTAATTACAGTAGAGAATGCCTCACAAGCATTCACAGTTATCATTCTCTTTTTTACGATAATCTTGAAGTACTATTTTAGCCCTGAAGAAAGGTAAAAGTCTCAGTTTTTGAGGCATGCAATTTAATTGTGCAGTTTAATGATGTCCAGTAGGTCCTCATTTTTGCCAGATCCATATCTAAAATGTTTGTTTCCTGTGGTATGAGAAAACGAAATAGAAAATTCAAGAAATATATTTAGTCATTTAATAGCTGTCTTGGTTTTCAGATCCGATTTCACAGTACCGCTGTGCTTGTTTTCACGTAACCCTTCTTTTACTTACCAATGGCGTCAAAGCGCAGAAGGAGTGATGGAGGCAAGCCAGATGTGCCAAAGAGAAGTCGCCAAGTGCTTACTTTAAGCGAAAAAGGGAAAATCCTCGATTTAATAGGGAAAGAAAAAAAATCGTTCGTTGAAGTTGCCAAGATGTACGGCAAGAACGAATCTTCTATCCG